GATATATTTTTCATATATTCATATATGTAATATATATAAATATATGAAAAATTGATGTGGGTATTCAAATGAAAGGTCTTGATGAGTGTAACATCGGTATGAGCTTATATCTTTAAAAATGTCAGTAATTAAGAAATGACCTTGTATTTTGTCTACTGATGATATTTTTAACGATATAAGCTCATTCCGATGTTACACTCATCAAAAGCTTTCATTTGAATACCCACATTGATTTTGATATATTTTTCATATATACATATATATATATATATATAATATATATAAATATATAAAAAATTGATGTGGGTACTCAAATGAAAGGTCTTGATGAGTGTAACATCGGAATGAGCTTATATCTTTAAAAATGTCAATAGTTCACAAAATACAAGGTCATTTCTTAAGACACTAAGTTTTACTAAAAAACCCATTTTATCATATAAATATACTGGCCACAAAATTTTGCTTATTCTCTTAATAATATAGATTAAAGAAATTTAATTATCTTGATTAAGAAGACTGATAATTACAGATACAATAGATAACAAAACTTTCATAAAACCACAAGTTTTATTAAAAAAAATAAAATTCCAATCTCAGAATATCTTAAATATAATTGCCTAGAGCAAAGATAAAAACCTAAATGAAATAATAAACAATTTACCTTTTGCGACGTGGCTCGTCTCCGTATCCACTGTATTCGTGATTCTGAAACACAATAGAGCAAATTAAATTGATGTTGAGCTCAATAACAATCACGACGAGTTATAATTATTATTAAAGTAGTAATAATATCAATAAAATAATAACGGTCGCATGGACGAGAAAATGGATTGAGGAAGTCGTATTATTAAGTAAACGTCAACCAGTTAAGTCATTGGTGTATTAAATTAATTTGAGGTATTTGAGGTATCTAGTATCGATGTCCTATTTATATTATTTGTATTTATATATATTTAATGTACTATACTAAGAGAGACATTAAAGAGATATTCAACCGGTAAATCCCGGGCAAAACGATTTTAATTGTCGTCTACGTTTAGTGGTCGCACTAAATACATTATTACAACGCAAATTCCCGATCCAAATTTACAAACTCAGCTAACCAGAGGTCTACTCCGTTTACCCTGTGTAGAATCGTTTATGGACGTCATCCAACCGCTCAACCATTGTAAACCTATTCTTTTTGTACCGGGCAATCAACTTTGACAACCCAACATACACCAGTTAAATCATGTCTTGCTACAAATCTATCTATCACCGTCGTCGGTTAATAATAAACCATAACATAGATACAATGTTTATTTAATAATAGTTTTAGTTTTAGATCTAATGGCACATTCGTTATTATTGAGAGCAACACACACATACACAAAAATATACATACTCTAGACATAATATCTATTAAATGTCAACAGCTGACTAGCAACAGGAAGTTTTATTCGAAGAAAGATTAAACTTATATCAGCATTTGTTTAGGTATCTATCAGTGATTCTTAGCCCTCAATTTTACCAGCAACAGGAGAAATCCAACAAGGATACATATAGAGGCTAAGAAGCCTGAGAGCTAGTAGACGACTATTGCCATTGGCAAAATGCCAAGCACGCGCCAATAAAGAGATTAGCAGCGAAAACAATGTTTACATTTTATTGCTCAGTATCCAAGAGAGCTTTCTTGACTCACTTGCTGCATCACGTTGTTCGCGGTCTTAAAATGCGTTGAGAGCACTCAGCTATCACACAAAACATCAAAAACAAATACGCTTTATGCTATGTTGTACATATTCTATTGTATGTATATAATAACAATTCATTTTATGTGTTTTATCCGTTAGCTGATTCATTTAGATGTTACCTATGAAATCAAACTTTGGTGATTATTTACAAGTGGGGTCAAATCTATTTTTGGCATATCTAAGTGAAAAATTAATATTTTTTTTATTCTGCTTGTTTTTAAGATGCATTTATGATAAAAAATATCGTGAAAAAAAAAAATAAAGATTTCGATAAATTTTTTGCCTTCAAAAAAACTATGTCTGATAAACTATCAGACATACTAAGTTTTTCTTATTCTTTGAAATTTTTTATAATTTTTTTTCTTTCAAATTTAATTCTTTAATTTCTTAATTTTTTTTTTTTTTTAATTGCTCATTTTTTTATGTATTTTTCAAAAAAAAATTTCGTTCAAAAAAATGAAAATTAAAATAATAAACCCCACTAGTAAATAATTACCCAAACTTTTACCAACATGTGTACTTGTGTCTATATAAATTATTTTATATCTCCACACGAGTTATTTATGAGTGTGTGGGTATCCACATACTATTGGCAACTAAGAGGTGTTTAAACTACACTTGGTAATGAGCACTGAAAAAAAAAAAGAAAAATAAATAAAAAATAGTAATAAAAAAAAAATTAAAACAAACAATGGGAGTAAATAAAAAATAAGTATGTACCTCAGGCGAATAAACATTTGAATAAACTAAACGAATGGGACAACTGACTACTCAACTTGTCTCGCGGTTGTAATACCTCCTTGTATCTCTATGCATTTCTATTATTAACTCTGTAATATGTCGCGACTACAGTGCGACGTTCGGAAGACAACACCGCGGAGTGGAGTACAATGACACGGTGTTGAACGAGTAATCAGATCGGGCTTCGCTATCATCGCATACCTATAATATCAAATCTTGTTTTGTATGTCATCGCATCGCTCATAAATAAATACCTACATAAATTTATACAATAGATACAACCATACATACATACATTATTAATATTAAAGAAGAGATATAACACAGCAGAATGAGAAGAGATAGCAAACAAAAGGTTATTCAGAAAGATATCATTGTACTTTTAGCTGGCTTTTAAATTAAATTCAATGTACATCTTACTCTTAAATACTACACACTAGTGCTATTCAGATCTAATATTTTCTATCATTTAATTCCATCAAATTGGAATAAATTAACAGCAATGAGAAGAAGAAGAAGAAGAAGAAGTTGAATAAAACAAATATTTTTAATAATTCTCTGAGGGGTGAATTTTCTCTTTTTTTTTTTACGTATCATTGGTCAAAGATAAACGATTTACGGAGATGCCAAATTGTATTAATTATCGATTTCAATGCTCTAGAAGCGCGTGCGCCAATTGTTGAATATGCGCATATGCTTCTATTCTATTCTACATTCGACAGACGATTAATATTCAAGTCTTTACAAGACATTTCATCCAATTGGTGGTAATTTATAGATTTTTTTGACTCCTAAAGCATGACATCTCTACGAGCTCTACGAACTCTATGAGTGGGAACGGGAACGGGAGCTTATCAACCAGCTCCATTATCGAGATAATAACTTTGATGATTAATGATCCTTTTTAATTAAATTTTAGTACAACCTTATTTTCCTACTGGGAACCTAAAATAAATTCCAATTGAATTTTTTAGTTATTGAATTTAGTTGTATAAATATAAAAGAAAAATGATTAAATTATATTACAAGGCAGGCGTTTGAATGGAATAAATACGCGTGATTAAGCGTACGAAAATCGATACAAGACATAACATGCATTGTAGTGTGTTATATTAACTGTATCGTATAATCGTATACCTACGGTCTATGTAATTGTATTACAATAATAAAAATAACAGTAACATTAATCACAGTAATTGTTTTATCATTATCAGAACAATAAAATAATAAAAAAAAAAAAATAACAATACCAATAAGTGTGATAATTAATAACTCGAGAAAGCATCTAGAGAGGAAGGTATCGTCGGTAGCGACCGGCTTCGCGAAATAATCAATATACCTCCATGACAAGAGAGCGGCGGGGCCGCTGGCACGCAGGGATAACAGGTTGTCGACTCGATGACGATGACCACGACGAGGACGAAGACGAGGACGAGCCAGCTTTCGACTTCTGATCAGATCTGACGGCAGTGTCTACAAAGATGCCGATCACTTGCCCTTGCTCAACTTGTTTTCAAACAGTAACACTATTTTATACAAGCCTTTTTATTCATTATTTCTTTAACGTAAACATTATTAATTAATTATCAACGGTTGCGTTTTAATAATTCGGTATTATAGTAGGCTTACTCGCGGAATCGATACTCGGTAGTAGTTAACGAATCAACGATCCTTCCTCTTGCCAGTACAGGGTCCGTCGATTTATCAAACCAATGGCGACGTCGATATATATATTTATATATTAAACGGAGGTTCGCGCGCGATTGTATTGTACAATAATACTTAGCACCGCCGATTTTAATTTAACTGTTACGAGCCCCAATGAGTAGAGCCAGGACGTTGAATCCACCGATTACGATATAATAATAATACAAATAATAATATATTTAATGGACATGGACAGTTTTATAAAACCTCCGAGGATAACATTACGACCACAGTTTTATGTTATGTTATGTTTTTTGTACGTGAATTAAACTGTGTATGTTGTACGTCGTACTCTAGCTGTTTTTTACGTATGTATCTGTTAAAAAATAAATTTTATTAATTTTTAGAAAAATCTAAGAAGTTGCTAATTTATAAAAATTTAAATAATTTAAATAAATAATTAATTATTTATTTATAAATAAATAAATAAATTATTAATTAAATAATTTAAATAAATAAAAATAATAATAGTAATAATTATAATTAAATACCGTGTAATTAATTATATTGTGTGATAATACGAGTTGACAAAAAAAAAAAAAAAAAAAAATGTAAATAAATAACGCGGGTTTTTTTTTACGGTGTCTGGAAGCTCCTCACCCTGTGACCGGACTCCTCAAGTCGCTGCCTCTTCGAGTGGGGTCCGTCCCCATTGAACGCCATCCTGTCTCTCGTGTAACCGGAGTTTAAGTAGATATATATGTATATATATATATTATATGGATGATACACTCGCACCTTTCTTTGGATTAGTATAGATGTTTTTTTTTATTTTAATATATATTTATCGGGATTAGATTGATTTTTATTAGTGAACTGGACACCTGGAGAATATTTATCCGGGGTTTAAAGACAACGATTATGTGCTGGGAAGAGATGTGGTGCTAGGAGTGAAGTTAGGAGCAGGTGGTGGTGAAGGTAGTGGTGATGGTGGTGATGGTTGGAGGAGAGGGACGAACAAAAAAAGGTCCAACGACGCGACGTGCCACGAACAGAGTATCGAATCACGGACGTTGCTGTCCGACGAACGCGGCAACGGTTTAAGGGAGACTGGGACTGCTCTTTCGTCAGGAACTGAACAAACTGAGACGCCTCAACTACGAGGAATCGTAATATCGATGTCACAGCTACTGTACTGATGGATATATATGCACTAGCACTAGGTAGTGGTATAGTGGTAAGTGGTGGATTATTTTGTGGATGTTGAAACAACCGGGATTAAACGCCCCGGCGAATCGGAGCGGACTGTCGCGAACTGGACCGGACTGCCGAGCTATGAATTCTCAACAACTACTGCAAGTATTTTGTACTCTACCGAAATCTATATGACCAATTATTTTTTACAACGATGCCGATTTTTAGCGCCACCTTTACGACGCCATTTTGGGGGGAACTGCGCATGCGCGGATTAATTTTTCAGTGCGGGAAGTCATTTCGAATGCAATACACTACAGCTAATGCGCGCATTACGTTAAATTTTAATTCGTGAGAGCTGTAAAGTAAGTTTATTATTTAGTTTTGAGAATCTCAGGATAAATATACTCTTATATATATATTATTTATTGTTTATTTTTTATTTATTTCACTTCGGGAATTTGTTTTTATTTTAGATTTTAGGTTCTGGTTTGTAAAATTGATTTTAATTTATTATTTATCATTATAAGTTAATAATAACATTTAAATTAGCAGTCACTTGACCATTTTTTTATTTTTTTTTATTTCTACAGATCAATTTTTTTATGCCATTATTTATTTATGGCAAAAAAATAAGAAAAAAAAATTGACATCTAGAAATTTTTAAAAATAAAATATGCAATTTTTTAAAAATAATTTTTTATAATTAATTTAATTGTTAAATAAAATTAAAAATTAGTCAGGTAGCTAACTTTAATGTCATCAAAAATTATTAAATATCTGCTAAATAGATTAATATAACAAATTTTTGTAATAAATAAATTATGACAAAAAAATGACATGAAGGAATTTTAAAAAATTAAAAATGCAATTTTTTATAAATAATTTTTCTGAAAAAATTTTTTTATTAAATAAAATTAAAAAGTGGTCCAGTGACTTGTAACTTCAATGTCATTTATTTATTACAATCAAAGTAATGATATATAAATGTCAAATTAGATGACAGATTAATTTTTTATGACATTAAAAATCTTTTTATAATTTTATAGCAATTAAATAATTATGAAAAAAATTCTACAGGTGAAAATTAAAAAAAAAAAATGATAGTGGAAATTTTTTAAAGCATTTGTTGTATTGAAACTAATTTGTTATAAGAATTTTAAATAAAACCTGAAGAAAAAAATCGAACATGAAAATTGATTGCATAACAAAGTATACAAGGAAATTTTAGTAAGTCATTGTGTGAATTTTTCAGATTTAGATTCCATAAATATTTAATTTATTTATTTAGTAATTTGCTATTCTGGAATCGATACAAGAAAATTTATTTTTAATAAAAAAAATTAAATATTTATAGAGTATAAATTTGAATAAATACATGTGTGGAATTGTTAAATTTTTATCTTTTTGTTTAACTTTTTTTGCATATAAATCACTTTAAACATAAAGAATGTCTGTTAACGGTATCGTAACCTTTTTATGAAAACTTAATAAAAATAGTGAAAAGTTTACTCATCAGTATTATAATTATTTATACGGTAATAAAAATATTACTGTAAGTATTGTAGATAAGGATTTACTACGTAGGGATTTAGAATATTAATTTACAAAGTTAAAGATACCTTGGAAGTAATAAAAAAGTCATAAACAGGATGTTAAATTCAGTATTTTTATTTGTGACACTCTGTTAGAAGTTTCAAGCAAGAATATACCTAACATTGATTTTATGACAAAAATACACAATAGAATTCATATAAGATATTTTTATATATATTGTATTGATTAGAATTTCAATAGATATATTTTTACCCTACATAAAATTTTTCATGAGAACTGTCAATGATTTTGTGTAAAATACGAAGTAGTTTTATGTATAAATTTATTAGGGCTACTTAATTATAGTATATAGAGTCAAGTAATGACCTGCGTAATTGTTAACCACATTTACTTACTTTACAGCTATAATTTTAAGTAAATAAAAAGTTTTATTAGTTTTTAATTTAATATAATGACAAGAAGTTTTTTACCTTCGTAATTTCTGTCGCACTTGAAATATTTACATCCACATTGACATACATAGACCCTTATCAGTACTCTATGACACTCGACCTGTACTTAATTATCAGATAAAAAATAAATTATGAAAAAAATCTCTGAAAAAATAAATAACTATTTTATTTAACGTAGTTTACTTTATTCATTCATATATAATTCACATCGTATTTGATTTTTTACAGTCCTTTACATATCTAAGTTTTAATTCGGTACACTTTACGTACATTTAATGTATTTTTTTTTATAATTATTTAAAATTAATAATAATTTCGTTTAATATTACTTAATATTTTTGTTCTTTGTATACATAGAGATCATGCGAAATGAAAGGATGAGTTATAAGTAAATTAGCTACATTTTAGCTTAAAAATTTAACGATGAGGTGATGTGAGTGACGAGAATATGTTTTAAGTATTAAAACGATTGAGTATTTGTTTTTTTTTTTTTTTTATTGTAAAAATTATGCGAGACATTTATAATGGACGCATGCCTCTATTAATTTATTAATAAAATTCAATTTATTCGCTGACGATGATCCGCAAATAAAAGTGAGTCTTGTAGATGACATTAAAGTTAGCAGTCAATTAATCATTTTTTTTAATTGTTTTTAACAAATAAATTTATTACACTGAAGTTAACTATTTAAAATTATTTAAAAAAAATTCCACTTGTTAAAATTAAAAAAAATTATTAATGAAAATTTTTAAAAGCATTTTTATTACTGTAATTGATTTTTTATAAGAACTTAAAAAATTAAATTAGCCGAATCTGAAAATTTTTAGAATTTTTTTTATTGAAAAAATTTTCATTTTTAAAAAACTTGAAAAACTGTAAGTGCAATTTTTAAAAAATATTTTTTTGTTCTAATTTAATTAATAAAAAAAAAATTAAAAACGTCAGCTAAATATTATATAGATTTTTTCCATAATTTTTAAAAAATTGCATTTTTTATTTTTAAAAATTTCAATTTTTTTGCCATAATTTATTTGCTAAAAAAATTATCAAATATCTGCTAAATTTATTTTCATGTCTTCATGTTGTAGACGTGAGTGAATCAAACTGATTAATTCAATTAACGATACGCTTAATCCGCTAATATTGCAGAGTTAATTTTTTATAAATAAATAATAATAATAATGATAACAATAATAAGTAATAAGATGATAATGATTATCGAAATATCTGGAAGACTGTAACAATATTGCATTAGATGAAAATAAAATTTTAGGACGAAATATATCAATGTACATGCCGACAATTGTCGAGCGTAACAATTATTCAATAGTAATGCATCTACATACTAGCAAATCCAGCATATCAATAAAATGACTATATTTATTTATTTTTTTACTTGTTTAATTATTTTTATTTACTTATTCTTTGTTTTGATAACCGCTATTACTTTTTAATTATTTAGTTTTCTTCTTTTTATATTTTATTTAATAAATTTAGCTGCAATTTATTGTGTCTATTATTATTTATTATTATAAGCAACATTTCTACTAACCATTTAATGTTTTTTTTTTTTTTATTTTATACAGTCTCCAGTAATCACCAAAAAATCCACACAAGTAATCACGAGGCAGTGGTAACATCACAAACTTAATCAGATCAATTTCATAGTTTTATTTCTTGACAGTTATTGTGAAAAAATTCCTGAGTGGAGGCTTTTTTAATGCGTGAAGTGTGCAGTAGTGCTTCGTTTTTTTTTGTTCCATCATTTCCTGAAAACAACAGTAGGTCAGCCGTACTGTTGTTAGTCTTTAACTCCCGTTGAAGGCAATCAGCGCGGCTTGCTCTGAAATTTATTAATTTTTTTTAATATAATTTAATTATTTTATTTGAAAATAGTTAGGAAGAAGCTTATGTAAGTAAAAATGTAGGTAAATAAAAATAAATTTTTAGCTTTTATTTATCTATGAGTCATATCTTGTGATTTTGAGCAGTCTACTTATTTAAAACTATGAATCATAAATTAAATTTGAATTTTTAAGTGACTAATTGAACGCGAGAGAGGATGCAGGTGTTACAATGTTACAAATTTTATACTTTGACGTAAAATGACGATGGTTTATTTCATCAGTGGTATAAATATGAAAGAAATTTATGGAGCTGATATCAGCAGGTAATTAATTAATTTATGACTAAAAAAATATTTTTAAGAAAATTAAACATTAAAATTTATTTAGCTGATATTTGATAATTTTAATTATATTTTTAACAAAGAAAGTTATGGCAAAAAAAAAATTAGAGAAAAAAATTGATAAGTAGAAATTAAAAAAAATTAAAAATGCAATTTTTTAAAAATAATTTTTAAGAACAAATTATTTTATTAATTAAATAAAAAAAAAATTTGCAAGTATTCAAAGAATGAAGCACAGATCAATATGACACCTTGATCAATATGGTACTAAAGTTAGCCGAAATTTTTAATTATTTGATTTTTTTTTAATAATTAAATTAAAACAGAAAAATATTTTTAAAAAATTTCACCTACAGATTTTGAGGTTTTTTACAAGTCGGCTAACTTAATTTTCATTGATCAATTGACATCTTAAAAAGCAAGTAAATATAAAACTGACCTCTTCAATTTGATGACTTAGAATAGGACTGACTGACGCAGGTTGAATGACAGGTGAAGCAGGAACGGGTGTTTGACACGGAGCAGAAGATTTATTAATTTTTAACGAATCTTGAAGAGAATTCGGATCAGTCCGTCTCATGTAAGCAGCGGCTTCTTTTTTCGGTGGAACGACCGGTTTATTGGGCGGCACTGGAGGCGGTATACCTCGTGGAACAAGAGGTTTTTTAGTTCCTGTCAATTGTCCGGCTCCAGGCGATGACAATGCTGATGACGGTGATGGTGATGAAGATGACGATGAAGATGAAGTGAGGAGCGGCGTTACAGTACGCTTATCCGTTGTCTGAGGAACCAACACACAGCCATACGTGTGTCTCATTAATTATATAAATTTTATTTTATTATTTTCCGGTGGTCCAATAGCTTTTTATTTTTTTTTAATTGTTTATTTTTATTTACCAAAACCAAGAGATGTGTAACCATCGACCAAACCATACAGAAGCCAGGACCAATTGGTTGGTGAAAAACAGCAGATAATACATGATGTGAAAAAAAGTCAGCATGTGGCATGTGGCAGTTGTGACAACGTAAATATGTTTGTTTTTATTTGTCCTATCTAACTAGATTTTGTTTTTAATTAATTAATTATTGCTTGCTTGCTTGCTTATTTAATTTGATTGTTCTGATCAATGTTGATAGTGTGAATAATAAAATAAATAAAGCACTTATCACTGCGGGCCGATGGTTCACAGTGAACGCGAGATTTTTTTTTTAGATTTTTTTTTTTAATTATTATTATTATTGTTGGAAGGGCAAGCAGGGAAGTTGTGTAAATAAAGCACGGAAGTGAGTTGCATACGAAAAAATTTTTTTATATGTTTTTAATTAAGGAATTAATCAATATACATACTAAATAATAGACTTATGTACACAAAAAATAGAACGATAAGTATTAATTGTAAAATAAAAAATTATTAATAATTGAGTGAATGATTTTTTTACACCGATCATTAATTAATTAAATAAAATTGTTTTTTTTTTTTTTTTTTAAATTAGGTATAAAAATTTGTAATAGATAAAAAAATAAATAAATTTAATTGATGATCGGTAGTGTAAGAAAATAAAAGTGTGATCTTTGGAATATGCGAAAAAAATTTATAGTTTAAAGAATATATGATTAAATATAATTAAAAATTTAATATATATTTTTTTTTAATAGTAATAATAATAATAATTATTATTACTATTATTGTATTTACAATTCTACTCTCGTCAAATTGTTGATTTGTCTATGTACTAATTATAGGTAATAATATCTATTATATAAGTATTTATATTTATATAAATATGAAATGTTGACGTGAATAGATTTGTCTTTACTTGGTAAAATTAAAACCGAATAAAAATGATAAAGAGTAGATGATACATGAGAAAATGAGAAATTAAATAACTAATGAGGACAATAAAGTCTAGCGTTATGATAAAATACATTAATTAATTAATTAATCAAACAATAAGTACTCGGTAAATATATATATATATATATATATATATATATACCCCATATATATATATATATGTATAAAATCAAACGCCGTTTTATAACGGGCATAAGACTAGAAAATTTTTAAAAAACATGTTTTAATAAAACATGCTACTTTTTTTTAAATTCCTTAATATCAATAATAATAATAATAACAATTATTAAAATATTTGTTTTTAAAAGTTGCCACGGTATAAAATAAAATTAATTAAAAAATCGGCCCAACATTAATTAATAGATATGATTTTAAAAATAATATAATAATAAACAGAATTTAATTATTACAAATCTTTAAAATGACAACGTTGATCGGGAAGACTAGCTCTTCCGTGCTTAATATGGTATACAAATGTAATAATAATATTATTAAATAATAATAATGATCATGCAGTATTTAAAGACATTATTATAATGTGTAGTGTAACGATATATATATATTTTTTTTATGAAGTTTTAAAAAATAAAAACGTGTGATAAAATTGGGCCTAGTTTTAAAATTCTAATGATTAATGATAGTAATAATAATAATTGATAATTATTAAATTAACGTAGACCGAGAAGAAAATTGTTGATGAATTACCTGAAGCTCGGAGGCCGCTGAATCAACGCTACCACCGATCGGTGGTCCTACATTAGTATTGATGTTCGTTGGGGCGGTTGTAATTGTTGTTGTAGTACATACACTTGTTAGCGTGGTAATATTGCTGGCAAGTGGCACATTTGAGGTGCCAGTAGTGACATTTGTAATTGGCGTCGCAGGCACAGCTGCTCCGTATGTAACGCCTCGCATAGCTTGTCGAGGTGTCACTGATCTAGCAATTCCTGTGGCTGAAAAATAATTTTTTTTTAATAAAATTACTCTTTTAGTTTATTAAATTTCACTTATTTTTTTTTTTTTTAACGTACTTGGACCGCTTACTGGTACGCTGGAAACAGTCGCAGTAGGTTGAACAACCTTGCTGCTGACCATTGGTGTACCAGTACCAAGGACAGCTGATCCTTTGACTATAAATAAATATAATTTTGCTTTATTAAGTAATGAATTTTGTTAAATTGCACTGTACTTTCTTAACTACTGACCTTTTTAAAGATATAAGCTCATCCGAATGTCACACTCATCAAGAGCTTTCATTTGAGTACCCACATGCATTTTGATATATTTTTCATATATACATATATCTAATATATATAAATATATGAAAAATTGATGTGGGTACTCAAATGAAAGCTCTTGATGAGTGTAATATCAGAATGAGCTTATTTATATCTTTAAAAATGTCAATAGTTCACGAGATACAAGGTTAGTTCTTAATTATTGACATTTTTAAAGATATAAGCTCATCCTGATGTTACACACATCGAGACCTTTCATTTGAATACCCACATGGCACTTTTTATATATTTTATATTATATATATATATATGGTATTTGTGAAATATATAAATATATGAAAATTTGATGTGGGTACTCGAATGAAAGGTCTCGATGAGTGTAACATCAGGATGAGCTTATATCTTCAAAAATGTCAATAGTTCTCAAGATACAAGGATTCTCTTAATAATATAGATTATTATTATAAAAAATAATTTACATAATTAAATATCAATAATATAAATGAGCTTAAACAAGGATTATTAAGTTACAGAATGATAAAAAAACTTACGAGATTGTGCAGCACTACCAGAAGGTCTTAGTGTGGGTATAGCTGCTAAATTGGCAGGCTTCGCTGGTGGCGGAGGTGGAGTAACACCCAACGGTGTGCGAACATTACGCATAGTAGCACCGTTCTTCCACGACTCTATTTCCGTTTTTAGCCCCTCGAGATCCGCTTCCAGTTCCTTGCTGCGTTTTTCAGCTTTAGCAAGTGCTTGACGATACTGCTGACGCTCCATATCAAATTGCGCTTGTTGTTTTTCTAACTCAGCCTCCATTTGTAAGGACTTTTTACTTTCTTCTTCCAATCCCTCGGCCATCGAATCAATGCGTACCTTTTCTTCACTCAATATTTGGGCCAAGTCCTCAGAACGCTTTCTCTCCTCCACGTACTTCATTATGATTTTCTCAAGCTCAGCTAATAATACCAATACTATTTGTTTTTCACGTGATTTTTCAACTTCAAGTGAAATATTTTCTTTTTTCAATTCCATTTCCAGTCGTTTTTTCTCTTGTCTTTCTAATTCTAATTCTTTTTTTAATCTAGTACGCTCTTTTTCAAGTCCATAAGTAATGTCATCGCCCTGTGCCGTGTCGTGCTCATGCTTACGTTTCTCTTCTTCTAATTCTTTTATTACCTACCAAAAAACAAAATATACTAAGTATATAAATGGAAATTATAAATAGCTGGAGATTATTCATTCTAAAATAAGATTCAAATAGGTATAAAAGATACATCCTGTGTGATGACAAAGAATTTTTTTTTTTTTATTATTTTTATTTTAAGCTAATCTGACATTTTAATTATTGATTTTATTTCTTTACTTTAAAAATAGACATAAAATTTTATTTGGCCTTGACAAAAAAAAAAATATTTTGTATAAAAATCAATATTAAAATACAAGGTTATTATTTACAAAAAAAAAAAACAAACAAAATTTCAGATCTTGTTTTTTCTGTGTAGAGTCCACCATTTTAATTTTGATTTTTTTAACGAAATTTTTATTTGATTTAATAGATATATATTTTTATTTTAAAATACACAAAAAATTAATTTAAAAAAAAAAAGTTGAATAGAGTTCACGACATATCTTATTAAAAATGCTCCGTAAAAACAAGCAGAATGAAAAAAAAAATTAAAAAATGTTAATTATACAAATAGAAGAAATATAAAAACTTGGTGTTTTTAAAATGAAAAAAAAAAAAACTCTGTTTAAAGTCAATAATCCAAACGTCAGGGATATTTAAAACAACTGTATAGTATTTGGAATTTTATAGTATTTAAATAATTAAAATGTTTTTAAGTACACTCAGGTGTTAAAGCTGCTACTGTATTAACTAAAAATATAAAATTAAATGTATTATTATCATTATTATTAGCTATATAAATTTACCAATCTATGTCGAATTTCCGCCTCTTTAAGAACCTTGGCCATTCGACATTGCATTCGTCTTTGTTGAGTTACAAGAGCCTCTAAACTAGCAACTTGTCGGTCTGTTTGATTGTTTTCCATTCGCATAACACCACCTACAATAGCAACATCCCGTGCTAACGCTGAATGAGGATCTGCTGTACCACTCCGATATCTTGAGCTCAACAAATGCTTCATTTTTTCCGACTAAATAAAACAATTAGTAAATATAAAAAATAAAAAAAAAAATCTTAAAAATTAATAACAATAATAAATTACTTTTAATGCAGCTATTACAATGTCACGTGCTTGTAATTCTCCCTCCAAATATCCAAGAAGCTTCAACAGATCCGTTTTACTCAACTCCATTTTAGGATTTCTCTAAAAAAATATAAATATTATTAAATAAATAGACAATACCTAAAAGAAAGAAAATATCATCCGAGGAATTAGTTTTATCAAGATATAATTGTAAATATTTTTAAACACTTTGTGATAAACAATTGTTTGTATTTGACGGTCGTTAATTATCTCTGACATAAAAAAAAATTACTTAATCGATAACAATCTGCTAATAATAAACTCTTTTGTAAGTCTTAAACAATTGAAACCGACAGAAAACCATTTGGAGTGAATTTATCAATAATTAAATAGAATTACATTGAGAGTGATGTACTTAAATACTTAATTATCTGAAATGCTTGTGAATAATAAAACAACAAGAGGTTTCGAGACTTGACAAAACATTTATCTCAAAACTTTGTTAATTAACATTAAAATTTCAGAATAAAAGTAAAAACCTTCAAAGTATTGGATGAACTTTTGTCAAGCGGTTCAAAATTATTTGATTTCTGCTGCGAATGAGTTTGAAGTCCTTGAGGGATAGAAGAGATGGAGGATGGCGACAGCATAGGTGACGGCGAGGGTGACTGCGACGGGGACGTTGATGCAGAAGACGAGGGCGTAGATAAAGAGGTTGCTACTGACAATGACGACGAGGGCAATTGTGTGGCAACAGCCACTGGTGCCGATGATCCTGTAGTAGACAGCGTGGATGATGCTGCGTTGACAAGTCCAGGTGAGTTTGAACTCTGCGATGCCATATTGTCCTCGTTAAACGATTTCCAGCTTTCACTATTATACTTCCGTCTCTTCTTGGCACACGGAGAAGGCGATAAGTCACGTCGTGACGACACTCTCACTTTAATAGTCGACAACACCACGGGCAATGATTTTCCTGGTGATCGAATAATACTCTTCGTATTGCAGTCGCCGCTCATCGGAAACAGCTAAGGCCTCCGAATTGTGGCGCGTCATTATTATCACAATAACTACAACAAAAATTTTTTTTTTGATTATAATTAACAATAATAATAACAATAAAAAAAATTATTTATTAAAAAAAATTGATCTAAAAACTCCAAATAAATTCATTAAAAAAATAATAACTAATTAATTACTTTAAAAACTTAATGAATTTTTTTTTAATAAATAAAATAAATAATTCCAATAGGCTTTAATCACACGTCAATAAAATAGCAGTATAAAAATTTTTGTTGCCTTTGTACGCACATTGGCGTCTACGTGTTTAAATGTAATAATACTAACGATTAAATCTTACACTTTAAAACTAATTGTCATAATGATTATTATTATTTATATTGCCACTGATATTATCATTAAACTTATATAGTTGGAGTAGATTTAATTTATTTAACGGTAGTGACACTACTACCGCCCCAAAAGTACACAGAGACTAGACTCCGGCCTCCATGCTGCTGTCGCTCCTCATCTTCGATCTCGAGCAAAATATCACTACACGTACGAGCAAGCGCATTATCAATCATACTGCTGTCATAATCCGCTTGTTCCAACTTTTATAATTTTACTATCTAAATAATAAACCATACTGTCAAGTACGACAGATATTTTTCTTAATATTATTAATTATTTTTCCTTCCACTTACTTTTGTTTCATTTTTATTTTGATTCAAGTTGTCGAACATTACAGTCTGTAATTTGTTTTTTTTTTTTCTCCTTTCGATAATCGACTGAAGAATTTCAGGGCTACTCTCTCTACTCGATATTGTAAACGATGTAAACGACACTCACTTGCAAAGGCGGTAATTTTAAATTAATTAATTAATTATAATTAATTTAGAGTTTTTCAATTTTTAATCTGAAAATTTTAAGGTTAGTTTTTTATTTTAAAATAATTTTTTAAAAAATTATCACAGCATAAATAAAAAAATTTTTTAATTTAATTATTAATAAAAATAAACTTTTTACTGTAGTTTTTAATTTATATAATTCATTTTTTAATTATTAATCGTTAATAATTAAAATTAATAATCTAAATTGCAAAATTAAAATAGACGGCAGTGCGTTGACATTTTAAAAAATTTTAGTTCAAATTTTCACCACCAGAAGTAGAAAAATGAAGTCGCTGGTGTAGCAATGACTCGCACATCAAATCAAGAATTTATAACCTTTAAAAAGTTGACGGGCAGTTTTGTTAAAAATTATAAAAGGTTGAATTGCATTTTTTTAGTAAACATTTGATAAGATTTGCTCAGGATGCCCGAGTGTGTCAAAATGGAGTCGAAATCGACTAAAGACATCAAGAACAAAGAAGAAGAAAAGAATGACTTGGTAAGTTTATTTTTTTTATGTTTTAAATTAATCATATTTTTCATGCTAATTAATTTTATTTTATCTTAATAAAAATGATTTTATCTTCATAATAAAAATATTTTTTTACTAAAAAAATTTTATATTTTTTTATTCATCCTTGTCAATTTTAAGACTTTTTTTTTTGAGATGACACGACCTCTTTTTTCCAAGATAAAATAAAAGTTATAATTAAATAAATTAACTAATAATTATTATTAAATAATTTCAGTCAGAGGAAGATAAATTACTTCAAGAAGAACTAGAACACTTAGTGGAACGTCTCCAAGATGGAGACAAACGCCTGCACTTCCCCGCACTGGAGCAACTTCGTGCGCACATTCGCGCATCCACAACCTCAATGACCAGCGTGCCAAAGCCGCTAAAATTCATGAGACCGCATTATGAAACTATGAAAAATATCTACGACAAACTACAGGACCAAGAATGCCAGGAGCTTTGCTCAGATATAATATCTGTGCTTGCAATGACCATGGCTGAGGGTCGTGATTGTCTAAAGTTTCGTCTGACCGGTTCAGCATTGCCGCTCAGCGAATGGGGGCATGAATATGTAAGACATCTTTCTGGAGAACTGGCTGCGGAATGGGATGAAGTCAGCAGCGGTGATGATGCTGCTGCAAATACTGAAAAATTAATAGGTCTCGTCCACGAGATAATCCCTTACAACATGGCCCACAACGCTGAGACTGAGGCATGCGATCTTCTGATGGAGATCGAGAGACTTGACCTAGTTGAGCGCTACGTTGATGAGAGCGCTTACCAACGTGTTTGTCTTTACCTGACTAGTTGCGTGCCGTACGTTGCTGATCCAGAGAACAGCACTCTTCTTCGTAGCGCCTGGAAGCTGTACAGAAAGTTCAAGCAGTACCCTCAGGCTTTGAGAGTCGCCATGCAGCTCAACGACTTGAATCTTATTGGCTATATATTTTTAAGCTGTACTGACTTGTAAGTTTTTTATTTTATTCAATTTAAAAACTAAATTCTCTTGAAAGCTTTAAAAAAAAAGCTTTTGTGAAATTGCACTGTACTTTCTTAACTATTGCCGTTTTTAAAGATATAAGCTCATCCTGATGTTACACTCATCAAGAGATTTCATTTGAGTACCCACATGCATTTTAATATATTTTTCATATATACATATATATAAATATATGAAAAATTGATGTGGGTACTCAAATGAAAGGTCTCGACGAGTCTAACATCGGGATGAGCTTATATCATTAAAAATGTCAATAATTTACATAATATATGTTAAATTGCACTGTACTTTTTTAACTATTGCCTTTTTTAAAGATATAAGCTCATCCCGATATTACTCACATCAAGACCTTTCATTTGAGTACCCACATCAATTTTTTATATATTTTATATATTTATATATTTCACAAATACCATATATATATATATATATAAAAATTTCATGTGGGTACTCAAATGAAAGGTCTCGATGAGTATAACATCAGGATGAGCTTATATCTTTAAAAATGTCAATAGTTCACAAGATACAAGGTCATTTCTTAACTATGTATCTAGAAATAGAGCATTTTTTCATTGACATCTAGTTAGATAAATAAATAAATAAATTTTTTCTATTTAGATCAATCCAAAAGCAGTTGGCATTCATGCTAGGTCGCCAACAAATCTTCCTCGAAATTCCCGAAACCACTGCGGAGTACGACGACTTAATCGAAATAATGTCAAACTCTCACCTGAACAACCACTTCCTGAACTTAGCCCGTGAATTAGACATAATGGAGCCAAAGACCCCGGAAGACGTCTACAAATCTCACCTGGAGAACTCAAGACCGCCGTTTGGCGGTGGCCAGGTAGACTCAGCTCGACAGAATCTCGCAGCAAGTTTCGTGAACGGATTCGTCAACGCAGCCTTTGGCCACGACAAGCTATTAATAGAGGACGGAAACAAGTGGCTATACAAGAACAAAGAGCACGGTATGCTAAGTGCAACAGCATCGCTGGGTCTAGTGCTTCTTTGGGACGTCGACGGTGGTTTAACACCGATCGACAAGTACCTGTACTCCTCCGAAGACTACATTAAATCCGGAGCTCTGCTAGCTTGCGGAATCGTCAACTGCGGCGTGAGAAACGAGTGCGACCCCGCATTGGCTCTCTTATCAGACTACGTACTCCACAACACCAACACAATGCGAATCGGAGCTATCGTAGGTCTGGGTCTGGCTTACGCTGGGTCGAACCGCGAGGCTGTACTCAGTTTACTCGCTCCAGTTCTCACAGACCCCAAGTCTAACTGGGAAGTAATTGGTATTGCGGGTCTTGCTCTAGGAATGGTCGCCGTAGGCTCCTGCAATTCATTCGTGACTACCACGATAATGCACTGCTTAATGGAAAAAAGTGAAACCGAGCTTAAAGACACTTACGCCCGATTTTTGCCACTAGGTCTCGCGCTTTGCTTCCTGGGAAAGCAAGAAGCTGCTGAAGCAATAATTGCAGCGCTAGAAGTCATCCCCGAGCCATTCAGATCCATGTCAACAACTCTCGTTGAAGTTTGTGCTTACGCTGGTACAGGAAATGTCCTTAAAATCCAGCACCTCCTTCACATCTGCTCGGAACACTACGAGCCGACCAGCGACAAAGACGACAAATCTGATCGCAACCACAAGGACAAGGACAAGAAAGACAAGGAAGACAAAGACAAGAAAGATGATAAGGAAAAGGATAAGGAGAAGGAGAAGGAGAAGGATAAAGACAAGGATACTAAGGACAAGCAGAAGGAAAAGGAAAAAGATTTGAGCTCTAGGCAAGCAATCGCTGTGTTGGGTATCGCGCTAATTTCTATGGGCGAAGAAATTGGAGCTGAAATGGCGTATAGAACTTTTGGACATCTTCTAAGATACTGCGAGCCTGTGATAAGACGCTCAGTACCTCTGGCACTTGGTTTAATCTCCGTCTCGAATCCCAAGCCCAATATTGTTGACACTTTGTCGAAATTCTCTCATGATAGTGACCCAGAAGTTGCTCACAATGCTATTTTTGGCATGGGTCTTGTAGGAGCTGGAACTAACAACGCTCGTTTGGCTGCTATGCTTCGTCAGCTCGCTCAGTATCATGCTAAGGATCCTAATAATTTATTCATGGTTCGCATCGCTCAGGGGCTTACGCATTTGGGAAAAGGAACTCTTACTTTGTCTCCGTACCACAGCGATAGGCAGCTACTCAGTCCGGTTGCTCTTGCTGGACTTCTTTCGGCTATTATCGGGTTCCTTGATGTTAAAAATAGTAAGTAATTTATTTAAATATTTTTTTAGAGTAATAATAAAGTTAGCTGACGTTTTTAATTTTTTAATAATTAAATTAGAATTAAAAAATAGTTTTTTAAAATTGTACTCATAGTTTTTCAAGTTTTTTACAATTGAAAATTTTTTTGTATATAAAAAAATTTTTTTAAATTATTAGATTTTTAATGCTAAAGTTAGCCGATGTTTTTAATTTTTTGATTATTTTTTAATAATTAAATTAGGACTAAAAAATAGTTTTTTAAAATTGCACTCATACTTTTTAAAGTTTTTTACAAATAAAAATTTTTTTTTTAATAATTTTATCGATAAAAAAAAATTTTCAAAAATTTTTAAATGTCGGCTAACAATTTTCATTTTTTTGGAGTATTTATTTATTAATGTATTTTATTTATTTTTATAGTTATTCTTGGAAGATCGCACTACTTGCTCTACACTCTCGCTGCTGCAATGCAACCCAGAATGCTGGTGACCTTTGATGAAGAGTTGAACCCTCTTCCGGTACCGGTGAGAGTCGGTGTTGCTGTCGACGTCGTGGGACAAGCCGGCAAGCCTAAAACCATCACCGGGTTCCAGACACACACGACACCCGTGCTATTAGCTTATGGAGAACGAGCTGAACTCGCGACTGAAGAATATATTCCCCTTACACCTATTATGGAAGGGTTCGTTATTCTTCGAAAGAATCCCGAATTCGTCCCTTAGTTAAGTTATTAATTTTTATTAATATTGTAAGGAGTGATATGTCTTAAATGAGATACAGTATACATTTTTTTCTCATCTTTTCTAATGTTTATTATTTTTTTGAGACATTAAATAATAATATCTTGTAATAATAATGAAAAAAAAATAAACAAATAATACCTTGATATTTAAAACTTTTTATATTCTTAATTTTTTTTATTCCTTATATTTAATATTATTTTTATTATTTATGATTAATTACAAAAAATAAAAAATAATTTTTTTAATAATTAAATTATCAGTGAAAAAAAATAATAAAAAATTGCAAGTATAAATTTTCAAATCTTCTACATGTGAAGTTTTTTCTTTTAATTTCTTTGTTATAATTATTTCAATAAAAAAATTATAAAAGTTATAAATTTCGGCTAATTTTTATATTTTTATAACAATTAAAATATAAATAAAAAAATTTCATATGTAGAAATTAAAAAAAATTTACAAGTGTGATTTAAAAAAAAATTTTTAATTAATTAAATTATAATTAGGTAATTTATTATAAAAATTTAAAGAAATGTCAGATGTTTGTTAATTTTATTAATTTTAATATCATTTTTTCATTTTTTTAAGTTTATATTTATAATTGTTATTATTAAATTTTCCCGAGTTTATTTATAGGGAGCGCTGCGATCAGCTCAATAGAAAGAAACGCAACTCACTCTTTTTACGAATGTTCCGTCGGTATAAAAGTGTAGCACAGTTACTGCCAAGGACAAATAATAAAAATACGTGTTTTTAATATACATTCACTTATAATATGTATGTACGTCTCTCAGTCAGTTCAGTGTGTCAAAAAATCCTTTGTTTATCGGCTTGTCCATGTTTTTGTTACGTTCCCACTTGAATTTTCGAATTGATAAATAGTGTATTTTAATCCTTAAAATATCTATAATAAACACGAAAACTTAAATTAAATAAAATTCTAAAAATATCTTTATGAAGTTAATTGCTCGAGGTAAGTCGACAATTGCTTACAATCATTGTCTCATAAAAATTCCTTCGGATAACACCAAGCAGTGAAAATAAAAACAAATATTGTAATTTAACAACCAATTGTTCTAGTGTATATATATAAGTGTCATATGTTAAAATTTTATCAGATATTTATTACATTACTGTACGTCAATAGTCTGCATCATGTGTATGTATTTTTATTAATGTATTTGCTAAATTTTTCTTCAATAATTTACATGACCAGGCAATGGCTAGTCCAGATGAAAAATCCAGTGCTACCGAGGAGCGCAACAGCGAGGACAACTCTTCTTCTGGTGAATGGACCCTGATAGGTGACAAAGAATCAGCTGACAGTATTAGCATTAGCAATAGTATTGATGGACCTGACAATGATGATAACAACGAAGATCATGCTGACCAAGCTATTGATACCGAAGAAGCTCGTGAAGTAATGTTTATTTATTTTTTATTATTGCAGTTCAATGTTTGGATTAATCATGTGTTAATATTTAATTATTAATTTTTTAAATATTATTTCAGGCTATTCAAATTTTAGGAGAGTCATTGCAGGTTAATGACAAAAAAATAGAAAATAAAGAAGAAGACAAAGAGCAAGATGATAAGAATGATGATGATGATAAAAATATTAGCGAGGCTCTTGTTACTCGTGATGATGATTCAGATGGGATATCTGTGATAACTGACTATGAAAAAAATGATGACAATTTATATAGAAGCCTTACTGAAATTATAAAACCTATTGATAATATTGTATTACCGGTAATAGTTTTAAATTTATAATCAAGAAATTTTTTAAGATTAGGTCTTAGTAAATATATTTTCTGAAATTTTATTTTTTTAAAAAAATTTTTAAATTAAATATTATAAAGCTTTAGCTAGTTATATTTTATTTTTATTTATTTATTTATTTATTACAGTCCTAGCAGCCTACTGGCCAATAACAGTCACTTTATGGTGCAATAATATAAATTTAAAGTAAAATTTACATTACATATTGATTATAATTATAATTATGTTAAATTATTACACATGAAGACTTAAAAAATCTTTTAAAAACTATATTTTATTTTATTTTATTTTATTTTAAGACGTAATTAGAAAAATAAAATTTCTAAATATTTATTCTTAATATTTAAAATTACTTTGAAAAAAAATTTAATTAAATATCATGACACTAAAAAAGATATATTTAAAAAATGTTCTAAAAATGAATTATTAGTAATGTATATATTTATTTAAAATTGATCACATTTTCAGAGCGGAACTGTAGTGCATATATTGATAGCATGCACACTGGCAGCGACGGTTGGATTTGGCATTGGATTATTCGTTGGCCCGGGAAAAACCCAAATGTCACCTCCTCCGACTATTCCACTCAAAGATGTTAATTTTAAACACATGAATGCAGAAAGTGAAAATTCACTGTACCGTAGTGATGAATTAAAACAAGAATCTCATTTACTAAAAGATAATAATGAGTTTTCAGTATTCAAAAAGCCAAAAATAGATAATGTTAATAATATTGGTACCTACGAAACTGATTGGGAAACTGGAAAGGGTGGTAGTATTAAGCCTATAAATATTAAGAACGTTAAGAATGGATCGCTTAGAGAAATTTTGGATAAAGTAAAGCTTTCGTTGGATACTCTGTGCTCTATTATTGAGAGGAGTGATGATACGTCGTATCGCACGAGTGTAGACTTTGCTTGTCATAAACGATCACTCATGGACTTACTTGACTTGAAGGATAGTGTGCAGAGTATTATGACCGGGATTGAACTGACTGAAGAGTTGTCTAATAAACGGTTTGTTCTAATTCATATTTTATTTGTAAAAATTTATTAAATTATTTATAAATAAATTTATTTATTTATTTATTAAATTTTTTCTGTATTAGATTTATAGAAAATATGGAGTCGAAGATAAAAAATATTTCTTTGACGTTCTTTGATGATCTGTCAAAGACTTTGAAGAATTCGGTGGTCAAAGTTCACCGTAAATTAGTCAAGGTAAGACGTAAGCTCAATCAACGATTGTGTTTGATTAGAAACACGATGGGAGATGATCCTAAATTGTCGGAGTTGTTAGAAAAAATGAATTTGGAGAGTAATAATTGTAATAAAACTACAAAGTCGGAGAAATTTAATGAAAAAAAAATTAACGATGAGAAGAAAATAAAAAATAAAAAGCCTGAAAAAAATCATCATCAGTATCCTGTTGGACCAGAAGTTAAACGCGAATTCGATAAACAAAAATTCAAAGTAAGTAATATACTTTAATTTGATAGTACTAAAATTAGCAGACATCTGTTAGCTGACAATGTTTTAAATTTTTATAACAGATAAATTAATATAAAAAAAAAATTTGCACTAATAATTTTTTTTTTTTAATTTCTACACATGGAATTTTTTTGCTCAATTTTTTTTTTATTATAATTTAATTATAAAAAAAAATTGTTTATCATTAATCAAACGATTAGCTAATTAAAATTGTTGGATAATTTTTTAATTATTTTTATAGATGGATTCTAAGGACCGTACCAAACAGAACGGTAGAAATGATAAAGGAGAATACGGAGAAATGAAGAGACAATTTAAATCTCAGCGAGATCATAAGGAGTACTTGATTTCAGAGAGTAAATCGAATGATTTAAATGCTAAAATTATTAGAGATACTTCTAGACTTAAACCCAACGCTCCTCCAGTTGACAAATGGAAGGATAAAAAATCTTTTGATAAAAAAGAAGATGATTCTAATTGTTATGGAAAGTCTTGTGGGAAGCAACGTAACAATGACAGAAAAAATTCATTTGAAAAAAATGAAAATTGGCAATTTAAAAGGTACTTTTTGAAAATTTTAATTTTTAATTTTTTTTGATAAAACTTTTCGTTGCAGATCTGAAGGACGCGATAATTGGCGGACAGATAAAAAACCAAATGACAAAAAGGAAAATTCATGGGATTTTAATCGCGCAAAGGGTCGTGAAAATGCGCGAATAAATTTTTAATGTTTTACCACTGTATTTAATAATTAAAAATTCATGACTTTTATCTGGAAAATCTATAAATTTTAAATAAATAAAATCTATTTATAAAGAAGTACATATATAAATTGAAGAAATACTGAAGTGTAAAAAAAAAATAAATTTCATGTTTGAAAGTGAAATTTTTAATTTATAATTTTATAAATAAAAATAAATTCATTTGTTTATTAAATATGGAGAAGTATCGTGCAGATAAATTGTTTTATAATGTCAATTTGGCTGTCAAGTCTGTGGTACAGGTACTTTTTTACGACGAAGTATATTGCATTGATAGGGAGTATAATAATTAATAATAAACTTTTGTTGATTAGCATAGTTATTAATTATTAATTATATTAGTACGTTTGAGAATATTAAATAAATACTTTACTAATTAAAGTTAAATGTTTGTAAATTAATTAAGTAGAATGGAGTGTCAGAGATTGAAGACTTAGCTGAAAAAATAGATAATAATGAAAGTTTAAAATTAATAAGATTTATAAAATCATTTTTGGATCACGGATTGTCAAGACTGGGATTGTCGGTGGATGATTATAGAGAGCGACAATCACATTACTGTAAATTGTGGCATCAAGTCAATAAAATACAACAGAATTATAAATGTAATTTATTTTAATTTAAATTATTTAAACTATTGTATAAAATTTATATTATTATTATTATTATATTAATTATAATTATTTAGCGTTATGTGAAAAATTAGAGGACCAACGGAGAGCTCACCGCGAGTATGAATCAAAATTGATGACTGAGTACTTGAACAATGTCAAAATATTGAAGGAATTAAATGAAAAATATTTAACTGACGCCCAGTTGATATCAATTAAATATGAGCGACAGCAGTTGAATGAATACAAACAGTCTTTGACGAGACAAAATGACTTGACGCAAATTTGCGCGTTTACTAAAAGTAAATCCGCCGCTATAATGGCGACAAACAAAAAATTAGAAAATGAAATACAGTCTAAAAGGTAGTTTTTATAATAAAATATCTATTTATTTATTTATTTTATATATATTAAATAAATATTTTAATTAGAATAAAAGTAATATCACAATTTACGTCATTACTTAATCGGTACGATTCGGAAATTGGTGATAAAAAAATTTATTTGGAAAAATTAAGAGCCGAACGTTGTGATTTAGAAGAAAATTTAAAAGAAATTGAGGTAATTTATAAAAAATAATTATTTATGAAAATTGATAGACATTTGCTATTTTTTTCTTTATAATTTTTGTTGCCGTAAGATGGACGGCGGAGATCCTAGGGTCCACCTTTACAAGCATGGAATGTGAGTGAATTCCATACATGTTTGTAAATTAATTAAAATTGATTACAATGAATTAAAATTAACTAAAATTAATAATTTCGTTAAAAATAATATTTTTTTTTTTTCTTAAATACACTAGTACAATATAAAAATACACAAGTACAATAAACTAGTTTTAAAAAATTGCATTTATAATTTTTTAGAGTTTCTAAAGATGGAATTTTTTAAATAAATTTTTCTTTCTATAATTTATTAGTTTAAAAATTTATAAAAATTATCAAATGTCTCTCAATTTCAGTATCATGTAAATTTATATTAATTATTGACATTCCTAGGAAATTATTAACCAACAATCAGCTATTTATGATGAGTACATGTACAAACGCCGTCAAGTTGATGTAGACCGAGTGGAGGCGACAAGAAAGAGTCACGCTGCTAGAACAATTCAACGTTGGTGGAAAAATATTTTACAAAAACGCAAAAAGAGCAAGAAGAAAACGAAAAAGAAGAAGAAACGTAAAATTCTTTAAATAATTTAACTACTAAAAATAAATTATTCATCGTCTTCTTTTATACACTTTTCCACCAACTCCCGAAGATTCGGATTTTCCATAGCAGCTGCGATGCGCTCTTTATCATTAATTTGTTTATTAACTGCAATTAATGATTAAAAATTTGTAATTAACAAATTATGAGTAAGTAAATATAATAATTAAACGATAATAAAATTAGCAGACATTTGACAATTTTTTATTTTTCTATAAATAAAAAATTGCACTTGGAATTTAAAAAATTTTCTTTTCTTTTTTTAAAATAATTTTTTTAGAAAAAAATTATTAAAATTTTCCAATGTCGGCTAATTTAATTTTCATAATAATTTAATAATAATGTTACATACTTTCTTCCTCAGTAGAGTGAGCGCCTTCTTTAATATAAATATCTAATTTAAAAGACTCGATTAATGATCGCTCTAATTTAATCCTAATACACAATCCTATCAGCGTAGCTAGAGAGCAATGTGGCACAGTGGGATTGAATTCAACGCGGATGACAAAGGTCCCGTTGGGGGTTGACGGGCAAATGATAACTCCATCTTCATAAACAACTTCTAATTGCTCCAAAGTTTGTGGTTTTTCTGGATCTTTTATTGTCCTCAACAAATCTTGTTCAAATAAATTTTTTAATAAAAATGTTATTATAATTAATGACTAATAATTAAAAATATTTTATTGGAAAAAATAAATAATTATAAATAATGACATAAAATTTAGCAATAACTGAACTTTTATAATTTTTAAAAATTTTTGAATGTCAATTTTTTTTTGTCATTATTTATTTTTTATAAAATTATTAAATTAATTTTTATTTATAAATACCATAGACAGTTTCTTTCAACTCAGTAATGTCTTTTTCGGTAACCTCACTTGGATTTTTTTTATTAACAAGATCTTGTGCAGTCCCCATATCTCCATCAGGCAACAAACCATCTTTTATTTTAGTGCCAATAGATAATTTTCGTATCCAAGATAACATACTTGCAATTGCGATCTACAATTTAAAAAAATAAAACTAAGTACATTTGAGTGCATTGTATTTAAATAAAATATTTTTTATTTTATTTTGACTTTCAATCACTCAACCTCAAACTTCCAGTTAATTTATTCATTCGTAAGTTTTATTATTAATAATTGATTATTATTATTTTTATTATTATTTTTATTTAATAATTGAGTCATTAATAAATAGTGTTATTGTTAAATTACAAAACAAGATTTTTATAAACAAGTTAGTACTACAAATCAATTGTTTTTGTTTTTAGAATTATATAAATATAAAACAGCTGCTGCCTCTGTTGACAGAATGACACAGTGAAAAATTATCTACATTAATTAAAAAACATTTCGCGCAATGTCAAATAAAACTAATAAGTATAATGCATAATATAAAAAGTGAAATTAAATATTAATTGTTAAAAAATATTTTTTAAATATGAGCACAAGCTTTGTCAAAAAGTTTAATTATAAAAAAAAAACGTAATTGTTATCAATGTGTCATTACTTCAAGTTAAACATTATAAAATATTATGGTATATTATTAATGAATTATGGATTAAAAATTGTAATTATCTATCTTATGTAATCTCCGATTAGTTTTTATTGTATATAATTTAATTTCTGCTCAGATGATAGCCGCAGACAGCGTTGATAGACTGCCAGAGAATGATTCCCTCGAGAAATGGAGTTTTAAAAATATTCTCTAGATATTTTACTGTTGAAAGTTCTCTACAGCCTAAAGTGTCACGTGTAAGTTTATTTACGGTATAATAATTTATTTTATTTTATTTAAATGTTAATTGTAGTAATTATTTTGTTTTTATTTAGATTCAACAATTTAGAGAACGGTTGGACCAAGATAAGAAACATGAAGTTCTGACAGATACATTTGGACGTCATCATACTTATCTAAGAATTTCATTGACTGAAAAATGCAATTTACGATGTAAGTATAATATTAATAATAATAGTTATGACACTAAAATTAGCTGACAGTGAAAAATTTTTAGTTTTTTTTTTTTTTTTTATAATTTAATTATAAATAAAAAAATATTTTTAAAAAATTTATTATACCTACTTAGAATTTTTTTAACAAATAAATAAATGAATTAGAAATTAAAAATGCAATTTTTAAAAATAATTTTTTTGTTAAAAAATTTTTTAAATGGTCAAGTGCTAATTATTAAATAATTAAACATTAATTTTATACCTAGGTTTGTACTGCATGCCAGCAGAAGGTGTAAAGCTCACAAAAAATGATAAAATTTTAACAACTGATGAAATAATGAGATTAGCAAGGCTATTTGTAAAAAATGGAGTAAAAAAAATTAGACTAACTGGTGGAGAGCCGACTGTTCGTAAAGATATCGTTGATATTGTTGGTAATAATCCCCACAATTACGTTATACTGCTATTTATTTACGTACATTAATATTAAAATTTATTTATAGCTCAATTAAAAAGTATCAAAGACTTGGAAAGTGTAGGAATGACAACAAATGGATTAACATTAACGCGTCAATTACCAGCGTTGCAAAGAGCTGGTCTGGATGCTTTAAATATTTCTCTAGATAGTCTTAGGAAAGATAGGTTTGAAAAATTCACCCGCAGACAAGGGTTCAATCGTGTTCTAGCTTCTATTGATCTAGCGGTCCAATTGGAATATAACCCGGTCAAGGTATCTTCATTTTTATCTCATAATCATATGCAAAATTTTTGTTTTAAATTCAGAATAACAATTAATAATTAACAGTGTTAAATTTTTTATATTACGACGAATATATTGGTCATAAAAATTTTTTTTTAAATAAGAGATTTTCAAAATTTAATTTAAAAAAAAATTACAGATAAATTGTGTGATGATGCGTGGCTTTAATGATGATGAATTAATAGATTTTGTTAAATTAACAAAAGACAGACCTATTGACGTAAGATTCATCGAATACATGCCATTTTCTGGTAATAATTGGGATGAAGTTAAAATGCTGCCATTTGAAGAAATGAAGTCTATAATTAAAAAAGAATTTTCTGATTTTCAACAATTAGAAACTCCACCAAATTCAACTTCAAAGGTATTTTATACTTTATCTTCGTTTTTTTTTATGTATTTTTCAAAAAAAATGTTTTAAAAAAGATAAAATAGAAATTTTTTCCAAAAACATTTTAAAATTATGTTTGTGTTTTACTCAAAATTACTAATTTTATCGGGAAGAATATTTATTTATTAATCAACATACGCTTATCGACAATGTACATCAATAGAAATTATTTAAAATTAATTTAAAAAAAAATTAATTATATAAATAAATACTTAAGATTTATAGTAAAAAATATTTTTAGGCTTACTGTGTACCTGGATTTGTTGGACAAGTTGGTTTTATAACTTCAATGAGTCAGCATTTCTGTTATTCATGCAATAGATTACGAATTACCGCTGATGGTAATATTAAAGTCTGTCTATTTGAAGGAAGAAGTGAAATATCGCTTCGCGATGCAATGAGAAACGGAGCTTCTGACGATGATTTAGAAAGTATAATTGGAGGTGCTGTTTGGAAGAAGAAAAAACAGCATGCTGGTATGTATTAATTACAATAATAATAATAATAAAAATAACTTTAGTATTGAAAAATCAAACGATATTTCAGGCATGTCCAATCTAAAATCGATGGAAAATAGACCCATGATCTTGATAGGCGGTTGATTTAATTGCAGGTCCGTCGCAGCTACGAGAAATATTAAAAGATTACATCTTCGGAACTAGCCACCTTTTTTTTCAAGAAAGAAAATTCAATATAAGACAATATTCTTCAATGACGCACGTAGATAGCTCGGGCAAGGCAGCGATGGTCGATGTTTCCAGCAAAGAATCAAGCAACCGTTTTGCGCAAGCAAGAGCACTCGTACGAGTCGGTCCAGTTGTCTCCAGACTCATTGCTGATAATAATATCAAAAAGGGAGACGTTCTACTTGTTGCTCAGCTTGCGGGAATAATTGGAGCGAAAAAAACTTATGAGCTGATACCACTGTGCCATCCTTTGACACTCAATAATGTTAAAGTTAGTCTGAAGCTCAACGAAGTGGAGCATGAGGTTGAAATCACTACAGAAGTCAGGTGTACTGGAAAAACGGGGGTGGAAATGGAAGCTCTGACTGCTGCTAGTGTCGCTGCTTTGACTATTTATGACATGTGTAAATCAGCTGCTACGCCTGAAGAGCTAGAAATTTGTAAAATAGAATTGCTCGCTAAAACTGGCGGTAAAAGTAATTATTTTAGGGATAATTAGATTAAGTGATCAATAAGTCTTCCGGTATTTTTAAGTACATTCCATAATGCATAATAAATTTATAATAAAAAAAATTATTTTTTTGTATAAAGTTGAAGAAAATTTATAGAGGCTGTAGAATTTTTCTTATCGTTTGGTAGCATAAATATATATTAAAGAGTAAAATCAAAAACTCTGTATTGACACTTGCAATTTTATTTTAATTAAAAAAAACAAATTAACTCTAATAAATTAATAAATACTAGCAGCCTTGCAGTCACTATGTGACTTCCGTGACTTGTGAACTATAAATAAATAAAACTTTGGTTTATTAAATAATGACTTTTGTTAAATTACACTTTACTTTCTTAACTATTGACATTTTTAAAGATATAAGCTCATCCTGATGTTATACTCATCAAGAGCTTTCATTTGAGTACCCACATGGCATTTTTTATATATTTTATATATATGGTATTTGTGGTATATATAAATATATAAAATATATGAAAAATTGATATGGGTACTCAAATGAAAGGTCTCGATGAGTGTAACATCGGGATGAGCTTATATCTTTAAAAATGTCAATAGTTCACAAGATACAAGGTAATTTCTTATTTATGTATCTAGAAATAGAGCATTATTGAATGCAGATTAAAAAATATAGATAATTTTTGAATTATAAATTTCAAGATAATTGTTTTTTTGAGAAAATTTTATTTTTTTAATGAGAATAAAATTGCAAGTGTCAAACAATTAGGCCAGTGTCAATAACTCGGTCTTTTACCTTAGATTAAATAAAAAATCCTAATTTTATAAACCACAAGTGCAATAGATTAAATATAATTATACAAATTACAATTAAATAGAAAACAATTGTATTATTTTTATACTAACATTTGTAAATAACATTATAAATTTAATATAAAATAATTAAAAAAAATTAACAAACTACGGGAGTTTCCGCTTAGTCTGATCTTCATGAACTCTCACTTGTAAAGTAGACCTAGGCCCGCACTTCCACACATTTCCATCCTTGTCCAAAATACTAGCACTAGCAGTGACCTGGAACTGAGTCCCACTGGAACTAGTTCCCGCCGTCGAAGTACCCGGAACAGGTCCGGCGCAATTGTTCCCAGCTCCAGCCCCAGAACTTCCAAGAGACAATAAAAATTCACAAGCGAAGAAATCTCGATGCGGAGTAACAGTCTGCTGAAGCTCATTGCCATTTGTCTCATGAGCGGCTCCGTTTTTGGAATCGGCGCTAATTTTCGACGGCGGAGTCGTCGAAATAGAAATACAAACCGCGGCGACTGACCTGAATAATGAAGAGCGCTTGCCGTGTCTTAAAACACCTTCAATCTTCAAAGCCAATTGCGAGCCCTGAGGAACACAGACAGGCTCTCCAAGGACTCTGGGCTGCGGAGAGACGGACAATTTAACAACAGTAGCTTGAAGAGCTTGGAAGAAGTATCGCGGCATAGGCAGGCGTATTTTCCCTCCAGCTAATAGCATCACTTGTGATATCAACGATTCTATCCTTGAATGACTGATAGCTTCCTCTTTTTCCTGGACTTGCCAAGTCGGACCTAGTCTCCGGACCTCAACGCAGCACCTGGCCAACTGCCTCATCTCCACCGAGTCTCCAAAGCTAAATTCAGATTCACTCCTCTGATTAGTCGCAGAATTAAACGGCGAGCAAACTCTATCAACACTAGTCGCCATCAACAAGCAAATTTCTTTCAACGCCCGAATATTATTTAAAGATCCATGATCGGCATCAAAAGCCGACTGATATAACTTCTGATAATTATCAGCGCAATTACGGAAGTCCTGCGCAGATTTTCTCAGCTGATAAGTGACTCTTCCATACCTCTGAAAGTCATCTTTAGTCAGCACAACAATCGACATTGCAATAGCAGGCGGTGGAGAAGTACACAAGCTCCTGCAAGAGTGAACTAATTGCGCGAGCGCCTGCAAAAATTCACACCTTAATTTAGCATACTCACAAGCAAACTGTAGACTTTTCAACGGAGTGCTAGCTGCCTTAAGACTCGCACAAGCACTAGCGTACCTAGATATCGCTCCGTTTAATTTATCAGTAATCCTAGCTTTGCTTTCAGCATTACTTTCATCCTGATTGCTGGTCAAGTAGCTCTCAGCACTAGTCAGTAATTCCAAACCCGAAAGCCAAAAATGCAGCTGCTCTGAAGCGACAGCTTCCTTCAAATTCTTAAAAATTTCAGAGGCGATACCATGATGCCCATACCTAGCAGCTCCCCGAGCAATGCGATACTTAGCCCAGCCGTCGACTGTCTTCGTAGCGGTCCTTATAGCTTTGAGACACTCTTCATTCCACTCATACCCTCCAGCGACTACCTGAAAAAGCAACGTACAGAGCATTACTTTGGTGTGAGCGTCAGTCATGTGCTTTAATTTCTCCAGGATGTCTGGCAAAAGCGGCAGCAGGACATTGTTGCCCAGACTACCAATAGCTCCGAGAGCTTCGCACAAAACTGCGCTCAGCTTGCCGCTGTTGGAGTACTCCGAGCTGGAATTCATCAGCGTGGATCCTATTACGTCGACGAATATCGGAGCGTGGTTAAAGTGAGCATGGCAGAGTTTTACAGTCGAAGCTAGGCACATTTTCAAATGGTGGACGTACTTGTCCTCGGTGCCTAGAAGGACTATCAAAGATTCTAGGCAGGATATTGTGTGCTGAATGTTGCTGACTGGAAGATTTTCTTCGTAGCAGTAGCAGGCGATTCTTGAGAGAATCATTACAGCTTTTACGGCGATTAGAGGGTCGTGGGAGTAACACGCGTCAATGCACATTGATGACAATGGACTATTTTCGTCTTTATTGCCGTCACAGGTAACGGCGTTTCTACTTAGCACTTCAATTACGTCCAGAGTCCTTAAAAGTAAATCAGTACTTTCGCTATTGTCTTGAGGAAGGCGCGTTGTGCTGTCTACTAAATTGTCCAGCGCTCCGCGAGGCCAGAGGTGAGCTCCGCGCTTGGCTAAGTCTAGGAGAAGTCTCAGTGCGTGGCGCTTCACTGACAATCGCGGGTCGTCTCGGAGGTATTTTAGGAGAAGAGCTACTTGGTTGGGAACGTCTATCAACGTCGCTGAGGCTAGAGTGCTCATTGCGCTAAGTGTTACGCGGACAAACTCTACTGCGGGGTAACTCACGAGTAGTTCCATGCATAATTCGTTGACCATCGAGGCTGTGGAAGTGTCGTGGTGCATGTACTGTAATATTGGAATTAGTTGGAGCTTCATTGAAGCCGGAGTCGCTTGCCCCCGGATCATGTCCGAGATCTTGCTGCACATTGAGACTGCGAAGAGCTTTGATTGAGCTGCAAACATCCGCGCTGCGTAGATTGCTGCCTCTACTTCTACTGAGTCGTGAGAGTCCAGGGATTTCCGGATACTGTGGTGCACTTGCTGACGCTCGGGGATTATTCCTGCTGCGCTGCCCAAAGTGCGGAGGGTCAGTGCTCGGGCTACTGGGTCGTTTGAGTGGATCACGCTGTATATACGACGCACGAACTCGTCCACGTTTAGGATTTTGTCTAAGTGCTTCTCGCTTTGCTGGCAGACTCGGAGCACCCATACTCGCAGAAAGTTACTGCCTAAGCGGAATACGTCCGCGAGTTTTAGCAACGCTGAGTTTATTAGGATTGGGAAAGGGTACTTTTCGAACAGGCGGGGGAATCTTACTATTGCTTCGCATCTTTCGCCGGTGTTCTTTGATCGTAAGCCTGGAAAATATTTGAGAAAATTAGTTTAGAAGATATTTCATAATTTTAAAAATTTTTTTATTACAATTAAATTATGTCAAAAAAAAATTTGAAAATTAAAAAAAAAATGCAATTTTTTTTTCGTTAATTTTTTGGAGCAAGTTTGTTTGGAAAAAATTATAAAATTGTGAAGTGACTACTTTTAATGTGATAAAATAATTGAAATTAATTAAGCAGATATTTTATCATTTTTTAAATTTTTTTTATAAGTAAATTATAGTAAAAAATTAGAAAAAAAAATTTAAGTAGAAATTTTGAAAAATTAAAAACGTAATTTTTTTTTTTATTTTTTGGAGCAAATTTGTTTAAAAAAAATTGTGAAGTGATTGCTAATTTTAATGTTAAAATATACTTGTTTTATAGAAATTAATTAATTTTTTTTATTATAATTTTATATTAAAGATAATTGGAGTTTAATTAATTTTTTTTTTAATTTAAAAAATGTTTAAATTTAATTTTTTTTAAAAAGTTTAATTTCTATATTTGTTTATTGTTATAATCAAAAAATTTTTCCAATTGTTAATATGAAAATTGATAATTTGTAGGATGTTTTTTATTCAAAAAATAAAAAGAAAAATTTGACTTGTTAAAAATTTGAAAAACTACAAGTGCAATTTTTAAAAAATACTTTTTAGTTCTAATTTAATTAATTAAAAAGATAGAAAATAATTTTAATGCCAGCTGATTTTAGTGTCATCAATTGTTAAATTTTTTTATTATTTTCAAAAATAAATTTAGAAAAATACCGGCAGTTCAAACAATTAACAATAATAATAACAATAATAAACATGTAGGTTATTTACCTTTATCCAACTCAATAAGCGCTGAATTAGCATCTTGCTCCGGTTCACCAGCACCAGATTCCGAGAACGAATTCATGATAATAATAAAATCACTATTACTTTATTTATTTTTAATTTATTTTACCACTTTATTAATAATAATTACTCCGTTGATGACAAAAAAAAAAAAACACAAGTAACACAATGAATTAAAATTGAAACAATTTTGTCAGCAGGTGGCGCTTTGGTGCGGAGAAAAATAGAAAAAGAAGAAAAATAGTTTCTCTCTCACTCTTGTATAGTCACTGTCAGTGTTCTCAGTTTATATATACTCGCTCCAAGATAGTATTTTTTATAATTATTAATAAAAATGTTTGATAAAAAATATTAATAATTAAAAATATTGAAATAATGTGACTAAAAATATTTGTAAATAATTTTTTAAAAATATCATTCTAAAAGTACAAAGGACTACCCAAGGATACTCAATGAAGACGGCTGTTTACCCGGGAAAACAATCACCGAGATGTCAATGCTGCATAAAAAAATTTACCTAGTTTTTATAAGTACTTTAATACTATGTAATGTTATTATTGAAGGTAATGATGGATTGGAAAATGAAAATAACAATGTAGTAGAATGTCAGTTGGGACGGGCATTGAGAAAGCAGGTTAAACCCACGCCACTTGGTGGTATGTGTCTCAAGGACATCGTCGTACGCTTGTCGAAAACTCTACGGTCGATTGGCAACGATGAGTTGGGCCTTGTGCAATTCCAGCGAATGCTCGATCAGCTGGACTTCATCGAGGTCCCGGATGAACCGGAATCTTCATTGAAAACACTTGTCAATGATATTGATGCCCAGCTGGAGAAATTTCTTGATATCTTGGAGCGCAGTCTAGATATTGTTGCACCGATTATTAAGAGTAACACTTATGATCATTCTTATCTGGATCATGATCAAGAGTTACAGGTGCAGAGAGAACAATCTCTTGATTTTTGTAAACAAATTGAAGATGGTAATTATAAGCTTGTCATTAAATTTTAGAATAAAATTACACAATATTTCTTCTTTTTTCAATAAATAAATTTAGCAGACATTTGATAATTTTTTTTTTAAATAAACTGAGAAATGACCTTGTATCTTGTGAACTAATGACGTTTTTAAAGATATAAGCTCATTTTTATGTTACACTCATCAAGACCTTTCATTTGAGTACCCACATGACATTTTTTATATATTTATATATTTCAGAAATACCATATATATATATATATATATATATAAAATATATAAAAAATATATAAAATATATAAAAAAAGGTCTTGATGATTGTAACATCGAGATGAGCTTATATCTTCAAAAATGTCAGTAGTTAAGAAATGACCTTGTATCTTTTGAACTATTGACATTTTTAAAGACGAAGCTCACCTCGACAATGCACTCATCGAGACCTTTCATTTGAGTACCCACATCAATTTTTCATATATTTATATATACTATATATATATGTATATAATATATACATATATACATAATATATAGAAATATATATATGAAAATGCATGTGGGTACTCAAATGAAAGGTCTTGATGAGTGTAACATCAGGATGAGCTTATATCTTAGAAAATATCAATATTTAAAAAAGTACAGTGCAATTCAACAAAAGTCATTAAATAATAAACCAAAATTTTTTTTACTTATATTTCAAAAGTCACGGCAGTCACATAGTGACTGCAAGGTTGCTAGTTATTTATTAATTAAAAAATCAATTTTTTTTTTTTTCATTTTAATCATCAGTACTTATTAAAATGAATTTTTTTCTTTCAGCATTGGCATACAATTTAAAAGAGAACGGCTGGAAGAACATCAGAGTAATTCCAATAAAACGACCGGGTAAAATATGCGGACAGGCTGGCCCTGTCCGCAACATCGGTTCATTATTTCTATCCCAGTGCGACAAGCCAAGAAACGTAATCGTCCTTTTAGAAAACGGAATTTTCATGTCAGAAGACGACATAGCGCTAGCTCGCGCCACAGCAAGAACAATAGTTGACATGCTGTCAGATACAGATTTAATAACAGTAATCAGCCTAGCCAACAAAACATCTCTCCTCTGCACTGACGCTCTTATAAAAGCGACAGATGTCAATAAGTATCAATTAATCCGGCTGATAGATTCAATAGCAAGGCTTGACGCTAATGAATCACCCTCAATAGACTTTAAATCAATGACTAAAAACTTACGTGATGATATTGTTATAGTCCATATTACAAATACATTTAAAGACTTATCAAATGTTAAAAATATTGTTAAAACTATTGCGTCCAACAAATTAAAGGTTTATTTTCGTACTGCGTTGATAGTATCAGACTTGAAGCCGACTGTTAATGTTGAAGAGACATTTATTAACGAGAGTACAGCAACTCTTCCGACAAACAATCCACTGGGTTACGATGTCGCAAGACTGTTTGCTAATTTAGAGTGTCCAATAATAAATAAGAAATATTTCTATTTATCAGATATATTTTTACAACCTTACGGTAAGACATTAGGAGTATCGATAGTTAGAGCTACCGATGAAGTACTTATATCACTAGACGTTAAACTTCGTGAATTTGTTGAGAAGATAACTTACTTCAACGCTGGAATTAACAACAACGCCGTGTTGTTCGACAAAAAAGGCTTAGTGTGGATGAACAAAAATTTTCCACGGGTTGAAACTCTCTCAGAGCAGCCTATAGAAGTAAATTTACATGACATAGAAAACTTCGACAAGAACTTTGTCGTAGAAATGATTGAAAGGCCCAAAGGAGCCAAGGAAGTCCAGAATAAATTCAATGAAACAATAAGTGTCAGATGGAAGCACTTAAAGTACTTAGATTTAATAATCTGTATAGTTACAGATAAAAAAAATACCCGCAGGTCAGTAGCTAAATTTCCTCCCCCGCTTCCGGACAGTATTCTGCACCACAGGCTGGATTTAGTATCAAAAACCCTGGCGGAGAGCGTGGAGCTCTGTTTAGACAGACGGAACATAGTGAGCCCTTCAAAAGCTGTTATGTACTTATCACCCTGGTGCTTGAACTCCTGGAGAGAAGACCTGGCCTCGCTGATGAATCTCCAGAGCTACATGGCCTACATCAAGGACGCGACGCGGCTGCTCAGAAATCCTGGACTTGGTCCGTTTGTCCGTCGAGACGCAGCAATGCTCGCGCAGATTATCGACCACTGGAAGACCCGCCACCAGGAGAGCCCCTCCAAGATGTTCATAGTCAGAAGATACATGGCCGCTGTCGAGAGTGGAGTAGTAGAAGTTTATCCAGGTCTGGCGATGGACTCGAGCTTGGATCCAAGAAGGCGAGCCTGGTACGGCAAGGCCTTGGAGCATCCGGGTAAAATAATTCTAACCGGCTCGTACTTGGACGGCGGAGGTGCTGGGTACGTTGTCAGTCTCAGCCAGACTATCTACGAGGGTCGAAAGTCGGCTGTTCATGGCCAAGAAGACCCGGTGGTTGCAGTAGCAGCAATGGATTTTTCTCTGGGATACATTATGAGGTTACTTAAAGACATGCTGCCTTTTTGCAGCGATTCTATGATCAAATGCTTCCTGATGGATGATAAAGGCTACCTGGTGTTCCATCCGTCGTTCCTAGACCCCGGGGGTAAGTTCGAGCAGCAACACTTGACTCACAAAGAATTATTGGTGGCTACTGATATTCTCAATCATGATTTTTTTGTGAGGAAAAAAATTTGTGCTAATTTTTTGGACGGTACTGTTGAGAGGTACTATCAATTTAACACTTCTCTTGAAGAAGTTCTGACTAATATAATCCACGGAGAACATTGTGTCAAGTATCAGCTAGCTGCTGTTCCAGATACTAATTTATTTTTCGGAGTTGTTAATGAAACTTGCACTCTTCCGGCTTTTTGTCCGTGTAACACGATGGCAAGGTCGTGTTTAAATTGCAAAAGGATGGAACAAACTGAGTGCGAGTGTCCTTGCGAGTGTTCTTTATATTCTTCAGACTGTGAAGCGACGAATATCAGCAATATCGAGCCTTGCAAGCCGCCGTATGAGCAAGGAATAGTTCCCACGACTCCTTGGGACAGAGTGACTGTTCCGGAGCAGCTGAACCTCCAGCAGTGTCCATCTTCTGACTGTAAAGGTTACTCAACTGAGCTGGATTGTCTGGGGATTGTTGGCTGCCAGTGGTGCTCTCTTGAGAACGACGGAGAGTTGAGCTTGGCTAATCCGTTTTGTTCGGACGTCAATGCGTGCTTTAAAGGAGTCTTTGGAGCCCCGCTGCCCTACGCTGATGGCACTTTTAATTCTCAGGCGACTGAAAACAGCATTGGGAAGGAATGGCCCTCGGTTGGTCCGGTTGCTGGAGGAATTCTTGCTATTGTTCTTATATTTGGCATCGTGCTTTTCTGCTACAGGTTACACAGCGTGCAGTCTGGCTTGGAACATCAGTGTCTACATCTTAATGGGTCGCCTGACACGCTTAGGATGACTCACTTGGATATCGGGCTCGGGGGAAGCACTGATGGAGATCCGGTGGAGTTAGACCGGTCGAAAAATCATTTGGATTCTCTGCTTCATGAAAGCACGCCGCCGATATCGCCCTATCGTGTTGCTACTAATTATAGGCGACCTCCGGGAGGTGATAGTGATCATGGGTACAGCACGATGACTCCTCATGATGATACGGAACAGCAGTCTTTTGTAGAGCCACTTTTACTTATCAATGCTAGCATCGAACCTGAAGATGAACGGCCTGTTGCTTCAGCACCCTCGCCCACGACTAGACTTGAGTCGCCGCACAGGGTTTTGGTTCCTGTTACCGTCCATCGGAATATGGAAACTAATTATTGTTAATTGTTGCTTTTATGCCGCTTTATTGCCACTAGGAATAGTTTTTTTTTTTTATTTTTAACTTGCTTATTTTTTAAAATGTTGACTGGAGCTCGGAGATCTGTTGGATGATACTTAAATTAGATGACATTTGACAATTTTTGATTTTTTTTAATCCAAGTAAAAAAATATTTTTTTAAAATTACACTTAAAATTTTTCAAATTTTCTACATGTCAATTTTTTAAAAAAAATTTTTCAATAAAAAAATTATAAAAATTTTCTAATGTCAGCTAATTTAATTTTCATCGTGTTTTAAATTATGGAGATTTATTGACTTTAATTTTGAATTAAAGGTTTTTACTGCAATAATTATCTTTAAAAATTATATATTTAAACACTTAATCTCTGGGCTCTTAAAAAATAATGATTGATACCAGTGTATATACCAGTGTTTTTTTATATTCGATATATTATGGATTTTACGGGACTTACAATCGTGCCAATGATGAATTGATATTTCATATATACTTATTAAATGTTTAAAACGTACAGACTGATTAAAAATTGCCACATATTTTTGTAGATTAACAAATGTAGATACTAAATAACACACAAAAAATTTTTATAACATTTTTCATTTTTTGTAATTAATTAATTAAATATTAATTGTTAAATATAAGGAATAAGATAAATCATGAATATCAAAATTTTTTTATTTTATAATAATTGTTTAAAAATTTTTTTTTATTATCATTATTACTTTTTTATGTTAGAAAAGATGAGAAAAAAATGTATACTTTATCTCATTTAAAACATGTCACTCCTTATTATATTTATTAATAAAAATCTGTTAAAAATAAAAGATATTTGTCAATTTTTAAAATTTATACAACTAAATTGTTAAGTGGATAAAAAAAAAAAAATCACGTCTAGAAATTAAAAAAAATTACAAGAGTAAATTTTTAAAAAATATTTTTTTTTTATAATTAATTATTGATAAAAATTAAAAAAATTGACAGCTGTCAGCTAACTTCAGTTTTATGAATCAAAAAAATTATCAGATATCTGCTAACTTCAGTGTCCTTGTCCTTGGTATATATAAAATTTAGATGAAATATGTATGTAGCATCAATTTATCGTAATGTGATTGGTCAAATATATCATAAGTATGAAAATATATACTAAATTCAGACGCGCGCTTGCGCGCGCACTTTAAATCTACTATATTGTATACAATCCAAAAATTTATAACCTAAAATTCTTTCACATTGAACTGTAGAATCTTCGAAAAACCTCGTGTTCGTGTATTTTGTATTTACCTGATTGCACTACGTGTTGTAACAAAAAAGTCCACTTTTAGATTTTACTCTTAAGTCCACGTGTTTTGCCTATATTTATTTAAATTAATACCGCGTATTAAGTAAATAAAAATTATAGCTTAAAATGGCAGTAAGAGTTCAGTTTGAAAACAGTAACGAAGTTGGAGTATTCTCAAAGTTGACTAATTCCTATTGCTTGGTAGCAATAGGAGGAAGTGAAAATTTTTACAGGTAATATTCTTGATACTTACTATAATTATAATTATAATTGTTTAACAGAGTACTAAATAATAATAATTATTATCAATTTCAGTGTTTTTGAGGCTGAGTTAGGTGAAAATATTCCAGTTATCCACGCATCAGTCGCTGGTTGCCGAATTATTGGGCGTCTAACTGTTGGTATGTTCAATATAATAAAATAATCATTTCTATACTTCAACATTTACCTATTCAGGCAATATCAGAGTTAATTAGTCCATAACTAAGAATATCACTCATAAATTACTTGATATTCTTACAGGTAACAAGAATGGACTGCTAGTCCCAAGCTCCACAAGTGACAATGAGCTCCAGCACATCAGAAATTCGCTACCGGATTCGGTGAAAGTTCAGAGAGTCGAAGAGAGACTGTCGGCACTTGGAAATGTTGTCGCCTGCAATGACTACGTTGCATTAGTCCATCCGGATCTTGATCGGGTAAATTTTTGTTATTATTACTACAGATTTCATTTAATTTGTCAAAGCATTAGTTGCAGAAATTAATTATTTATTTCTTTATTTATTTATTAGGAAACTGAGGAAATTTTAGCAGATACACTAAATGTAGAAGTTTTCCGTCAAACAATTGCCAGCAATGTTTTAGTGGGGTCATATTCGATTTTATCCAACCAAGGTGGAATAGTTCATCCTAAAACTTCTATTCAAGATCAAGATGAATTATCGTCTCTTTTACAAGTGCCTCTAGTGGTAAATATATTTTTAACATTTATCTTTTTTTACTTTGTAATAAAGTAATGATTTTTTTTTTTTTAATTACTTTTGTTAAATTGCATTGTACTTTCTTAAATATCGACGTTTTTAAAGATATAAGCTCATCCTGATGATACACTCTTTAAGAGCTTTCATTTGAGTACACATATATTTTATATATTTACATATATTACAAATACCATATATATAAAATATATAAAAAATAACCATGTAGGTACTCAAATAAAAGGTCTCGATTAGTTTAACATCAGGATGAGCTTATATCTTCAAAAATGTCAATAGTTCACAAGATACAAGGTCATTTCTTAATTATTGACATTTTTAAAGATATAAGCTCATCCCGATGTTACACTAATTGAGAGCTTTCATTTGAGTACCCACATGCATTTTTGATATATTTTTCATATATACATATATATAATATATAATAAATATATAAAATATATGAAAAATTGATGTGGGTACTTAAATGAAAGGTCTTGATGAGTGTAACATCGGGATGAGCTTATA